TTAGCCTGCCTAAGGACGCCACTTGCCTAACATTCTGTAACGAGTAATCCGACAATTTCTGTAGATTTTCAAGCAGAAAAGGGAAATATTGTAAGGCTGGAGACAGAGAAGGGGAGAGCAGAAACGAAGGATACAAGGGGTGGGCAGGAAGAGTAAGGAGAGAACAAACGATAGGACAACAAACCGTTAGAATTCTTTGCCCGGCTCCACTATAGTCCCTACCCCGACTCACATGAATCAGGTCCACATCAGCACATTATACTGTCGCGTGTAGGATGGTATGCGTGACGAAATGATGGGTTCTAGTTCGGATGATTGGATTTATCACCACTTCAGTTACACACACTCTCTTGATCACACTTAACCACAACCCTATCGCTGATCTACACCCACTTCATAATCCACCGTTACACGCACACCCTAGTCCTCTCCGGGCAACGAATCTCAGCGCAGAAAATATAACAGTCTCACTGGATCACTCACTTCAAGTATTACATATAAACGCAGTCTTCAACTTGCACTTTAAATCTTCACAGGTCTTTTACAAACTTTCCGTTGCTCTCACTCTTACTGTTACTCAAACACTCAAATACTGAAAACACTGCCTTGATTATTCCTGAAATTTCGTTACATAGCCTCCACACCGACCACAACCTATATTGTTATAGAGAAATGCTTACCGTGACGTTGCATAGCAACGGTCACGGCTCCGACCGCTTAGAAAACGCCTTACTCCCACTGTTGCCTTGCGTATATTCGGTAGCAAGGCGTTTAAAGGTCAGTTACCTAGCAACCCTGTGTCCATCCACGTTAAATATATTCAAAAAATCATTTTAATATTATCTTAACACCCATAAATAATTCTCCGAAGTAGTGTCCTCATTCAGATTTTGCAGCCAATTTTTGTACCATACCTGTCACATGACCCACCCATCTCATTGCCCTTGATTTCGTCAGTCTGAAAGCACTTGGTACCAGTTCCGCTCTCGGCCGCATTCAGTGTTTCCAGGCAACTATGGTGAGAGTATTGTGACATGTCGCGCAAAGGAGAACCCCCCCCACCAGCAGTGACGCGGCGGGTGAGTCAACGCTCCCCTCCCCCTCCTCCGCACGGTAACGTAACGGTGACGCAACAGGATTGTTACGGTAGTAACAGCGGTTATTACCGCTAGCGTTACTAGCAACACAGCGCCAGGCAACAAGGGTGCCTATTACGTGGCCGTTTTCCGTATTGTCCGATCAAGGCTACATAAGGAGCAGCGAAGGCTATTCACAGCCAGTCAGTCAGTCAGTCTTGGAGCTACCGCCGAGTGAGTCCTCGAGCTACCTCCGAGTTAGTTCCGTGTTAGCCAGAACCAGTCAGTTGTCTTGTGGCATTTGGAGTGTACTATTTGTGATACTGCAGATAGCAGTAATCGTAAATCTGTAATTTGGGTGATTGTAAGTGCGAATGTGAAATAAAATTCGCTACATCAAATACATCGTGAAGTTATTTGTCGCGATATACGCCCAATACGCGACAGTATCTTCACCAATTCTGATCACCTACTCATTTCACGATCACCTAATTTTTTTAATGCTAGTGGGGTGGGAGTAAGTCCCTTGTATTACGGCCACTTCTGGCCTATTGTACCAGCCCCAGATGATAGGTGAGGGTGATTGTGGAGCAATTGGTGGAATGAAGATTGACAGGAGAAACCGAAGTACTCGGAGAAAACCTGCCCCAGCGCCACTTTGTCCACCACAAATCCCACTTGACCAGACCCGGGCTCGAACCCGGGCCGCCGCGGTGGGAGCCAGCGACTAACAGCTTGAGCTGTGGCGCGGCCGGACTTCATCTAACTTGTGCAGTAGGAGCAGTGGCAGTAGGGTGCTGAAGGGACCAGGTTTATATAGCACTAAAAATAAAAGTAAAAAAGTAAAAATAAAGGTATCCCTATAACAGGCCGTGGAGGCCCATAGGGTTGTGAGATGTTGAGGTTCCCACATTTTCTAGACAGTCCGCTCATAGATGGCGATAAGGTCAGCCCTACCCACCGGCTGCCCTTTACCCCTAGAATTTTCCTGGTACTCATTTCTGTTAAAGTCTGAGTCGACCCCAGGGCCATAATGCGTCTGGAAGGATTAGGTAAATTGAAGAAATTCAATGACCTCGTCAGGATTCCATCTCGCGACCTACCGGCTTATAGCGTAGTACTATATAGTAGTTCCCATGGAATGGCTACCTCGGTTTTATCTCGACAGATAAAGTGGCCACTCATGTCCTTTTAATGCCGAACTTAAGAATGTCTGGAGTTTTATTCAGCTCCGCCATATTATGCCTTTCTTCATAGCGTGGTAATTACCTACGTTAACGCTGTCTGTCTTTGCCCACAGAGTGTATTTTTATGTGCTCTTCTTACTTTTCTTGCAATAAACGGCGATCACTTCCCTGAACAGCATAATGGTCTTTTTAGTGGAGTCTTCTGTGAAGCTTTAAATAACGCGTAAATATTAATTAGATGAATTTGGGGCTTTAGCACACCAACAACTTCAAAGCTCACCAGTAAATGTTTTCATGAACAACACACAACATATCGAAGAAACCAGACTTTATGTATTATTTTGTTTTTCTCCTGATTTTACGGATAAGGCTCTCTGGCCTGCTCCCATTTTGAATTAATCACGAAATTATGAATGTCATAAACAGTTGAGCGAGGGATTAACTCCGTCGCAGGGTCACTGCAGGCACTGGACAAGATAAACATGGAATGAACGCAGACAGACATCTATGCCTCGAGTGGGATTCGAACCTACAATACCAGTGTTTCGAGCGGGAAAAACGTTTCGCGCCTTAGTTACTGCGGCTACTGTTGTCGGCTGTGTTTGGTTCCATTCATAGGAATTATTTTTTCCTGCATATTTGAAGTCCTCAAACAGTTTTACATGCTCAGTACACATGTAAATTAAAAGATATCTCACCGAAATGTTATTTAAAATTGATTGAGGCCATGAAGAATTTCGTTCAACTTGAATATGGCCGCAGCTGAGGCATCTTAACAAAGAGTGATATAAGAAGAGGTTTGTGAGAGTGAAATCAAAACGACAGCAGAGCCTGTGGTCACATTCTATACCAGTTTGCTTTCGGCGCTTTCTTATTTAAGAAAGTTGAGAAGCACGAAACACCTCTATAAGAATATCCTGGAACACTAACGGAAGTCGAACCAGATTCCTTCAGATGATATGTCCATGATCTAGTCTGCTCGCGAAGAAAATTGCTTGCGTGCCATGCGAAGTATTCATTTTCTGTTTTCAATGATTTCAACTGCTGCATGCAAGAAGAAGCTCCTGGCACGCTGCCAGTGTAGCATTTGTTTCCTGCTGGAGGGCAGGTAACACTGCAGAATCAATACTTACACTTGAGGGCACGACCACTATGCGAGGTGTCCCAGCATTCCTGTAACTATTCTAATTGTTATCGATTCTAAAACAGGAGAGCTATGGTCCTCCCTACTTAAGAGTTTCAGTCCGGTCTTGGCTCCCGTAGCAACAGCCTCCCATCTAATGCGTTAAAAGAAAATAGAGAAAATAGGGACAGAGGCCGGGTTGTATTCTTTCCCATTGAACATATAGGCTGTAGATATGTGATCTCCCCGTTAATTTCTGTGAAGGTTTTAAATTATATTTAACAGTATGATTAATCTAAGAGCAGGGATAACGCAGTCGGCATAGAGACTGGCTACGGGCTGGACGGCCGAGGGTTCGGAGTTCGAGTCGCGGTAGAGTCAAGAATTTTCTCTTCTCCATGTCCTCCAGTCCGGCTGTAGGGTCCGCCCAACCTCCTATCCAATGAGTACCGAGGGTAAAGAGGCCCGGGCGTGAAGCTGACCACTCAGCTCCAGGTAGTGCCGAGGTCAAAAAAATGTTGATCTATACAGCCACTCCATCATATGCCTTAATTAGTTAAGCACAGGGACAGCTTTAGTATGCTTAATCTTTAATCTGCCTTATATAAATGATAAAAAATATCTGTTCCTGTGCTTAACTAATTAACACTGTATCATGAAGATGTATGGATATACAGTATATGGATGTATAGATCCACGTATTCTTGATCCAGTACGTGTACTAGATGGAGGTCAGTGGTCAGCTGCATTCCTCGGCCTCTTTACAACGGTTGAAAGAGTCCCTGGTACCCATTAGACAGGAGACTCACTGGGCCCCAGAACCGATCTTAAAAACGATGGCAGGAGAAAAATCTTTCCCCTACTGGGACTTGAACTCCAACCCCACTGCCTTCCAGCCAATAACCAGTCGCTGTACAGACTGCACTGGTTGAATTCGCTTTGTTTGCACGTTTGTGAGGAAGAAATCACACTGTTTATGGGGAAACAAGAAAACGCCAGATAGACTGGGGTTCAGTGTACCAGGCAGTTCGGTCACAGCAGGTCATCTCCGTGTGGAGGTGAGGTCGAATACCTCCACCGTGACCCTGGGAGTCGGAGCAGGCGGCGAAAAGGGAAGTCTCAAGTCTGAGACAGTAAAATATTGTCGCGAGTCCAAGGGACTCGGACTTGAGAAAGACTGCGCTGGCAAGGGCCAGCAGTATATACAAAAGACAGACCCGTCCTCTCGTCAGAGAGGGCGCCCCACCAAAAACAAGACCGAAACTGTCAAACAGTAATAAATATCTAGTCATGAGCCCCAGATGGGGTTCGACACCAATACTTACTGACTGACTGACCGTCAGTCGCAATGTGACTTTGACTTGAAGAAAACTCCATCTCAGACAATCGAACTAGTGACAAGCAACTAGTAGTATCACGTTCTTTCCCCCCCCCCTTTTCTCTTAGTTCATATCTTAATATTATTCTACTCCTATGTGGTATCCTTCCTTCATATTTTCCACCTAAAACCTTCAACGCCTTTCTCATCAGCATGAAGCGTTGCTCTCACACTATTTACTCAATCGCCCTAATAAGTTTTGGTGAAGACTGCAGGGACACTGGTTGCTGTTGCAGGTCTCTTCTGCCCCGGAACATTCGACGGCTGGTCATGTTGGCCAGAGACGCCAGCTGGATCTTCCGCGCATGCGCCCTGTCCAGAATTTATTACAGGATTTGATCCCAACCGTAAGTAAGGACGAATATTATTAGTAGATTTGCTGTGATTCTCATTGCACTCTTTTTTGAAGATATCACGTAGAACTCTAGCCAGCTGTTGAACTCGCTTCCAGAGTTCCATCCCGTCGGTCTCTCAGACAAATGTCTTTGAGTAGCGTTCTCCTGCAAAGAGATCTGCAATTTGAGGAACAGTTTTTTTTTTGTCTGAAGATTCGTGTTGTTTCTGTGACCACTGGATTACAATACGAGGGGATGACGGATATCTTCGGCGTGCCGAGACAATATGTCTGACGTATTTCTCTCTTGACTGTCGTTATCATCTCCTGTTTAGCGGCCAAGTAGTTGATGGCATATATCTTCAGGCATCTAGCAGAGGGGCAAGCTGTGTCATGAAAGTTCTTATGCAAGGGAAAGTCTTGTTTTGTAATGTAGCTTATCTTATTGCATATGGTGACATGTAGTGCAAGGTCTGTAATTAATTAGTTAACAGATGGAAAAAAATGGAATTCTTCCGTGGCACGTTTTTCAGCTTCTACTGAAAACTCATCTCGCCAGCTGGGGCACGGTTGTCCACATTGTCCAACTTGTACCTGGCAGAAATGTCCTGTCTCTCAAAAGAATTGCCTACACGTAAAAAGGCAAATTTGTCCCTATGCCTAACTAATTAAGCACTACGCCATTAAGGCATATGGAGAAGTGGATGTATAGATCCACATTTTGTTGACCTCGGTACTAGCTGGAGGTAATTGGTCAGCTTCATGCCTCGACTGCCTTACCCTCGGGGAAAGAGCCCCGGTACGCATTGGGTAGGATGTTTGGTGGACCCCAGATTCGGTCTGGACGACATGGAGAAGAGAAAATTCTTGATCCCAACGGGACTCGAGCTCCGACTCCTCGGTCGTCCAGCCCGTATCCAGTCACAATTAATAAATCTCTGCTAAATGTCGGAAAATTTATAATTAACATAAATAAAACAACCTGAACCATATTCTTTATCTCCTAGATTCTGTTTCCTTAACATGCTGGGCTTCTCCTGTTTCCCCTTCCATTCTTGAACTTTTCGTTACTGTGAATGACACATATTCTCCTGTAGCTGTTATAGATCGATTACTACACCCAGAAATCCTGCTTCTTTCGGTTTTCTCTCTAAGAGTGATAACTCATTTCTTAATCCCTGTTTGCCACCCTAGTACTGGGAGCACGCGGCAAGGTAATTGGTTGAGGTACTGTGCTACAAGCCGGATGGTCTCGGGTTCGATTCCCGATGATCTAACTGGATTTTTTCCGATTTATCTAATCCTTTCAGCTGAACTATGGCCCTGGGATCGATCCAGCCTTTTACAGAAACGAGAACCAGGAATCTTTCAGGGGATAAAGGGCGACCGGCGCGTAAGTCTAACAACTTTACCGCCATCTGTGAGCGGATTGTCTAGAAAATGTGGGAGCTTTGCCGTCTGACAACCCTATGGGTATCCACGGCCTCTTACAGGGATAGCTTTACCTTCTACCAGACCAGAATTTTTCTGTAGTAATTAATTATACATCGCCTTCATCATCATTATAGGAAATCAAGTGACAAGCTTCAAGAGCGGCGTTAAACAATGAAGTTTCGTTTTTCCTGGCAATGATACCGTATCTTCTATTGAAACAGAAGAGCAAGTACGGAGCTAACATGTATTTGAATGGTTGCTGTGTGATCTGAACACTCCTCACTGTAGTCACCGTCCAGTGCTTTCCTTATGTCGGAAAGAATGGGGAAAGAAACTGACTTAGAGTGAAACCCGCGCATTTAATCAAAAAATTAATATATATTCCCAGTTCTATTCCTAAAACTAACGTTTATATTGTCAAGTATGATTGGTTACGTGACAAATAATAATGGGTTTTAGATTAGATGAATCGATTTATTGGACACTCACAAGTCGTAACTACAAATAATTACAATACTCTAAAGATTACTGTATCTATAAAACATAAAACAAAATTTTCAACATCTGCTTGCTGGTCGTTGCTTGGCAACGAATTTAATCTGGTTAACACTTCAGCTATTGAATTATCTTCTGAATTCTTTTATGATTGAATGTCTGATTGAACTGATTTCTGAGTCTGAGTCTCATTTTACAATCGACGGTCATTCGGCCAGTCTGTCTTGGCGTAAAGCACCCATCTAGGGCTCATGACTAGATATTTATTACTGTTTGATAGTTACGGTCTTGTTTTATGTGGACGGCCGCTCTGATGAGAGGACGGGTCTGTCTCTTGTATAAGTTGCTGGTCCTTGCCAGCGCAGTCTTTCTCAAGTCCGAGTCCCTTGGAACTCGCGACCACATTTTACTGTCTCAGATTTGAGACTTCCCTTTTCGTCACCTCCTACGACTCGCAGGGTCACGGTGAATGTATTCGAACATGGGCCGAAATGATTTCACGAAGGAAGTCACTTTTTATAAACGCCTTAGAACCGAATAGAGATCACCGCCTCCAAGGGCTGCGTTATTGGTCTTGGTGAATGAGTTGTCTCGGAAACCGTGTGTTAATTCCGAAGCAACAGTGTGTTTTACAAGTGTTCACAACTTTCAGTTTTCGTATCCATGGAAACCGTGTTACGTAACCAGTTGGTTCCCAAGAATCGATCTCTCCGTAGCAACGTGTTTGCCCATTTGTTTCCTAGAGATGCCCCACTTGTCGCAATATTTACACATACCCTCTCAGAAATAGTTTGTCGGATACAAAATGTGACGGTCAGACACAGGGATACTGCAAAGTACGCACACACCAAAGTACGTATTCACTTTCGTGGAACCTTTATTAAGATCCAGTATCAATTCTTTTAATTATCATGCCTGTTACTAAGCATCTTCATAATCGACACATATAATTACTGGGATTTTGGACATTTTCCATCGTCCGGAATATTAGGTGATAGAGGACACGACGTTTCGGAAACTGGATCTGTTTCCATCTTCAGGTGAGAAAGGAAGACACCTACTCAGTTGGGCCCCTTAGAAAGAGCGAAAATCGCCGCAGGATAGCGATGCTGAGAACAAAAGTCTGCTTTTCCAGCTTCTATGAACACTGAAACCAGAAACAACTAACAGAATTATTAACAACCATGTTATTTTGATCCTAGCACTGCGTCATGACGACTTGGAGGGATTGGAAGTAGAAGCTCCAGACACTTCTAATCTGAATATTGGACGAAGATGACTGGTCAGTGTAAAGCTCCGGTAGCCTTGACCCCAGGCTATAGCATCTGCTACCCATTCAATGAGAGGTTGGGTGAGGCCTGGAGCCGGTTTGGACGTGGTTTTGGAAAGGAATTCCTCGCGTCGGCGAAAATTATACCCCCAAGTCACACAGCGCGTAGTTCATTGCTTTACCGACTGACACTGCATTTTCTTCCAGCTTCTAAAAATAAGAGCAACAAACCCCCTTTGACAAATGAGGCAGAGCAGAGCTACTATTTATAATTTTCGATATAGAACTTTAAAGGATTATATTTTTATGCTTTAATCCTTAAAATAGTTTGAGTTATTTCGTCAGGGAAAGTGGATACAGATCTATTGGTGAGAAATTGTCATAATATTTTGAAGATAATACGTATGCATTACCAGGCTTTAAGGAATTCCTTTTGTAATCTGCAGTGTCATATACCTAGTATGATTGCGGGTACTCTGAAGTGTACATAATCTTTATTTATGCGTGTGTCTGACCACCAGCTCACAACATTCGTTACGAAACTAATGATTACAAATGCATGTGGGGTAAGAGGGCAGATCTCTTGGGGCGTGACGTGACGTGACGTGACGTCTAGTTGCGTCCACTCCCTTCATTCTTGCTGCTTTGTGTACCCTCGGCTTAGTCTTCAATCCTGCAGACGGAGCCAACACGAACTTCGAAAAATCTGCAATTATACAAGGTACATACTAGAAAAACATAGCAGAAGAAAACAATCTTTATTGCAAAAACATGTTTGCAGTTTTGTAAGAAATTCACAAGTTTCCAGTTCTAAACAAAATATGAAGAAGAGAAAAATACAAAAGCCAGAAATCCTCAGTTTTGTAGAAGTAAATAGATATTCTTCAGCACACAACACTGGCCTCAAATCGCCATTCATTCCATGCAGCTCATGAAGGAATTTGACTCTCTCGATTAGATCAATCGCAATACAGGTGTGTAGAGCTGGTTGCATGATCAGTCTGGCGAGCCAAGGATAGACCCAATATGACGGAGACTCTGTCTGCAGTTGAATCGGCTACCACCCTTCGGTAATCTTCAAACTGGGCCGTGTTTGCCGTCTTTATAATGTAACCGAGCTTAAATCTCCCTCGTGAGTTGAGCCGTTGAATGCCTTTAGCTGACACCCACAGCTCTGCTAAGCTGGTGCGCAGGATAGATTTGTGCCTGTGCTTAACTAACTAAGCACTACGTCATGAAGGCGTATGGGGAGTGAATATTTAATTTCCTTGGCACCACAGTCCCAGTGGGCCTAGGCCTACCTCCATGAACTTCTCCGTTCACTTCGGTTTTTACACATTTGGTAGGACTTCTTGGGCGAGTGGTCAGCTCGTCGCAAGGCCTCTACCTGTAGACAAACACAGAAAAACGCACACACAGAAACTAAACATCCATGCCCTGAGTGGGATTCAAACCCACGATCCCGGTTTCCAAGCGAGCGAAGACAGTACATGCCTTAGACCGCTCGGTTACCGTGACCGGCGGAGTGAATATATAGATCCATATTTTCTTGACCTCGGCACTAGTTGGAGATGAGCGGTCAGCTTCACGCCCCGGCCTTTTTTCCCCTTAGGAAAGGGCTCGAGAATCTGCACGCCGTGGAGAAGAGAAATCTCTTGACCATACACGGACTCGGAACTTCGACTGCTGTGTCGACCGGCCCGTAGCCAGTCGCTGTCCCGGCTCCGTTATGAGGATATGGTACAATTCTGTATTCTCTGTGAACCGTCGTGTTCTGTCACGAGCTATCATTCAAATAACACACTAACAGTATT